TTTGATGGGGTCTGGGTCGGGTTTCAAGTCGTCTAAAAAATTGATAACCCTACTTACACTCTTATACATATCCCTTATAATATGCTCAACTTGAAATAACTTTTTTTAACTCCTTCAGGAAAAATATATATTTAACTGATTTAAAACATATAATAAAAAACATTTTGAAATCACTCAAAATAGTATATGATTTTGGAGAAATTATTACGTGCAAAATCTGGACGATCAAGATTCCGTCCAGTCTCCAATCAGAATCGGGCACATCGCCTATACATTGTGTACAATATGTGTGCAGGATGATATGGCTTGTCCTGATTAAAGTCTGAAAGCAAACTACGTCCAGACTCTGCATTTTGATGCCAATAGTCTAATTTGGACGGCTTCAATTATGATCTGGACATGTGGAATATTAATCAATATAATATTATCTTTAATTTTATTTATATTTTTACTATAACATAAAAACATTTAATTACAATTTCATTATACTTAACATTAAATTATAATTTAATAAATATCAAAAATATAATTATATCAAGATTAATATATTAGAAGAGATGTTTAATTTTGTAATATTATTTTTTTTCTAAAATTTTGGATGAAAATGAAGTCAAGGTCTTTGGCGATCTTTTCATTTTTTTTTGCTTTAGTTTTCTGTTATTATCAACATTATTGGAGGTCTAATAAAAGACATCTGAATTGACTTGTCCTCTGCTAATAACTCGAAATTCATTAATTCATCTTCTCTAAATCATCTGCAAACCATATTGAAGCTTCATCGATTCTTGAGCTAAAGTTTGGAAATGGCAGGAACCACTTCTTCAATCATTTCCAATCTATTGTCTTCCTTGAAACGGTTCTCCCAGTTTATGCTTACCTTTACTTCATTGGTTGAATCTTCCTCATCATCCATAACACAAGAAGATGTAACTGCTATCGAAGTTAATTCGAACCAAAAAAGATTAATGGAGGATTTGAGCCGATTGTCGAGGATGCTGCAAAGAATTCAGGTAGTTCTTCATGATGCCGAGGAAAGGGAGATCTATGACAAGACTATCCAACTCTGGCTCAACGAGCTTAGAGAAGTTGCATATGATGCTGAAGATGTCTTGGATCAATATGATTATCAAGTTATCAAAACCCAATTGGAAGGAATGACACCAACAGCTGAAGTAAAGCCTTCTCTAAAATTAAAACAAGTGGATGATGATGATATTTATGGCTACCAGGTATGTCTTCCACTCCTAAATTCAATTAAAATTCTAGTTATTAGAAAGTGAGTGGATATGTTTATCAATATGTTGATCATGTATGAAAACTATGATCAGGTATCACTACCTCCCTCTAATTCAAAAAAAATTCCCATTTCTTATGACATGGCCATGAGGATCATTGAGATCCTAAAGAAATTTGATGAGATTGCACATGATAGAAAAGCACTTTATCTTAGAGAAGAAGATGCACCTAGGCGGCCTCGTTTCAATGATGTTATGAAGAGGCCACCAAGTAGTTCACTTGTGCTTGAATATGATGTTTTTGGAAGGGATAAGGAAAAGAGAAAGATAATTCAATTGTTAATGTCTCATTCAGAGAAGGAGAACATTGTAATTCCCATTGTCGGCATGGGGGGTGTGGGAAAGACGACACTTGCTCAACTTGTATACAATGATCTTGAGGTATGCCGGCATTTTAGCCCAAAGGTTTGGGTTTGTGCCTCCGAACAATTTGATATTCTGAGAATAAGAAAAGAAATTTTGTCATCTATTTTGGATTCATCCAATTACAATGATAACAATAACTTGGATTTGCTTCAACGCAAACTCAAGGCTGCTCCATTAAATAAAAATTTTCTTCTTATTCTTGATGATGTCTGGAATGAGAGAGCTGATATATGGGAGGTCTTACGAGCCCCCTTTTCTGGTACTGGAGTGGGAAATATTATTATAACAACTCGATCTATGTCAGTTGCTCACATCATGCAAACGGTGTCCCCAATTCAGCTTGAATGCCTACATGAACAGAAGTCATGGTTATTGTTCAAAAGTTATGCTTTCCATGGTTGGCAGCATGATCAACAGCTAGATTTTGAACAACTTGGGAGGAGAATTGTTAAGAAATGCGGCGGATTGCCTTTAGCTTTAAAAGTTATTGGGGGATTTCTACAAAACGAATTTAAGGTGCAAACATGGAAGGATGTATTAAACAATAATTTATGGGATCCCAAAGAAATTATTTCATCTTCATTAAGGATAAGCTACAATCACTTGCCATCATATCTTAAACCATGCTTTCTCTATGCATCTCTTTTCCCAAAGGATCATTACTTTCAGAAACTAGAATTGATAAGAATGTGGATCGGTCAAGGTTACATTCAGCAGCTCACATAAAGAAAAAGTTTATGGGAAGATATTGCACTTGAATACTTTGAAGACTTGGTGAGAAGGTCATTATTTCATAACTCAAAACATGAAGGATTCGTTTTGCATGATATGGTGCATGATTTAGCTCAATCTATAACTAGAAATGAGATATGTTATTCATTAGTTTTTGATGAATTGAAGAATATTCCCAAAGACGCAAAGCATGTTTTCATAAAAAACATCAAGCTTGATCAAGTTCTTTTACGTGGGGCTATAAGGACACTTTACATTGGTACACCAATTTATTTTTCTGTGGAAATTCAAAAAACTTTTTCTAAGATTCTATTCTCTAATTTGGGATGCTTGCGTGTTTTGAGATTTGATACCATCATATGCAGCTATGAATTTATAGATTGGATAGGTAACCTACAACAACTCCGTTATCTCTCTATACGTGCACGGGAAATCCATATGACAGAGAACTCTTTATGTAGCCTTTACAAGTTACAAACACTAATACTCGATTCAAATTATATAAATATGCTACCCCATGCAATGGGAAAACTTATCAACTTACGTCACTTGATGATTAAAAGCAAGAAAATAGCATTGGTGTCGAAATCATATTTTGGGAGTAAAAATCTCCTTTCTTTGAGTTTTAATGAGGCAAGAAATGAATTTCTTGCATGTAAATTTCATGTAAGAAGAGATGGCTCATATTCTAGTATTAGATGTTTGAAACCTCTGACAAATTTACAAGGAAGTCTAAAGCTTTGTTGTCTTGAAAATGTGGTCGATCATGAAGATGCAAAGAATGCCAATTTACAAAGTAAGCCATATGTCGAGAGGCTAACACTTATATGGAAATATAGTAAATGTGGTGAATGTGCAAGGAATGATAAAGCTATTCTTGAAGGCCTCCAACCCCACACAAATCTTAAGAAGTTAACCATGGATGGCTACAATAGTAGCAGCTTCCCAAGTTGGTTTGGAAATCCTCACTTCTCCAATTTAACAAAAATAAGGTTGAGAAATTTCTACAACAATGAAGAATGCAAGTTTCTTCCTCTGTCTAAGCTACCATCCCTCACATCACTTAAAATTATGCTTCATAATGGGATAACTAGAATGGGGCAAGAATTTTGGTGTTATAATGCCCCTCCTGATGTTCTTAAGAATTACACTATAGAGGCCCATGTGGGTTTTCATTCATCTAGATATCAGACAAAAAAAAGTTTGCTTGAATGGAAAGAGCGACCAATGGTGAAGAATGGAGATTTCTCAAGCCTTAATTGTTTACACATATTTTATTGTGAAAACCTGCAACAAATATCAGCCTTACCATCAAGTATTGTGGAATTGTTAGTGGTATCTTGTGAAAGACTTGAATATATTGTACTTCCTTATAGCTCGGGACATCTTTCTAGGCTTCAAAAAGTGAAAATTTGTCATTGTAACAATCTTACGTCAGTGTTCAACTTAAACAATCTTCTTGGCACTCTTAAAGTTTTGAAGTTAGTTCTTTGTAGCCGACTCGAGCCCGATTCAGACGAAGAATTTGGTCATTCATTTGGAAGAGCTTCATTTGAAGAAGGTTTTCCATGTGTAATTACATGTCCAGGGATGAAAGAGTGGTGTCAATGGCATGGTTTCACCTATTAAGATATTCTGGTACATATATGAAAACACTCCAATACAAAATTTAGTCGTATTAATTCAGCTATTTCAATATAATTTAGTCATCTCAATTTTAATATTAGTGCTAACAATTTAATTACTTTTGGGGCATCATCTCAATCTTAATATTAGAAATTTTAATAATGCCATCTACTACTAATTTTAACATTGATACTATCTATATTAATTAAATGTGGAAAATAAATGCTAACACTGATTTGAATGGTTTTGCAGGTTTGCGACAATAACTCCTTCCTCAAGGTATGTGTATGAATTTTAAGCTTGAAAATGAAATCGTCATCCTTGAAAATTAAAAATCAATGAGATCTATATTTTAATTCATATTAAAAATGTAATTTCTAAACTTCATTTAACATAATTAATTAATGAATCTCTCTGTCTCTTTCTCTCTATATATAGTTTGAATATGAAGCATAAGAATTTGAACATTACTACTACTCATTTTAATTAAGTAAGAATAACAAATTCTAATACTGATTCAAATGATTTTGCAGGATTGCAACATCAACCATGGCAACACGGTATGTGTATGAATTTTAAGCTTGAAGATGAAATCGCCATCCTTAAAAATTAAAAATTAATTAGACCTATATTGTAATTAATATTCAAAATAAAATTTCTAAGCACCAATTGACCAAATAATTAACGAATCTCTATACATAGTTTAAATATAAAGTGTAAGAATTTTAGCATTGCTATTACTTATATTAATTAACAATTAATAACAAATTCTAACACTAATTGTGGGCTCCGAAAAATTCCATTTTTGGGTGTGTGATCCCGGGGGAATTTTCAGAAGGCATATTGGGTTTTAGATAAGACACTACCCAGAGATTTCGTCCTCATTTGGTGAGGACTTTTTGATCTGAGTTCTGGTTTCCTATAGGCGCAAGCCCCTATAGTTAATTACCCCTCCCAATAATAAGAGAGAACTTTCGATTAAGGCTAGTCATTAAAAGAGGTCGAATAGGTTATAAACCTATCGTATAATAGCAACAAATTTAGGGTTTGATATTATGATTTGAATTTTGTTGTAGGGGGTCAAAATGGGTCAACCGCTCAGGTTTAGGTCCAACCCAAATTGACCCGAGTCCAAACGAGTTGAACCTAACCCCACCCGATTTTATAAACAGGTCAAAAATTTCAACCCAGACCCAACCTGGGTGGGTTTATCCGTTGACCTGACACAACTCACGAACCCGGACGCGAACGCCTGAGTTGGAACTAACACCAACAGCCACTGTGGCGGACACCTGTCGCTAGCAATGACATTGCATGAAAGGGATTCGCCATATGACTCGAACTACTGATGGAGCTAGCGCTTGATTCGACTCTTCCGGTCGAAGATTTCAACAAAGGGGCTGCGGGGTCGACTGGTCGAGCCATGAGCTGGACTGTTGCAGGTCACAGGTGCGGGACGCGAGGCAAAGGCCGGACTGGACATGCGGGACGCGAGGCCGAGATTGGGCCGCAAGATACCTGACGCAACACGGGTCCAGACTCGGAATACCTTATCCTCGCGTGTCAAACCCAGGTTGATTACAATTTTCCAGATCAACTCGAACCCGGCCCGATTTATAAACGGGTAGGAAAATGAAATCCAAAACCGACCCGTTAGACAAGGGGTTGTCCCGAACACAATTTTATAGGTCGAGATAATATTTGACACCCCTAGGTTCTTATAAAGGCAAAAAGTTATAAATGAAAAAGCTAATTGCATCAAAGTCCCAATAAGAATGGCATAACTTGTAAATAAAGTAGGGAATATCCAAAGATAATGTTACGTGGATGCACCTACCATCAGGACAAGCTCTTCAATCAGGATTCATGACTTTCTCTTATGCCACATCATGGAAAATGGAGCAGGATGATCCTATGGGTACTTATAATAATAATAATGGAGAAATTTAAGCTGTGCCATTTGGAGAACTTAATAATTTATTCTGCTTTTTATTGTTTATAGAAGTTGTATTCAGAAATAACAAGGACGTGAGGGAAAAAAGACGAAGCTAGAAGACTTGTGCAACGGCAACCTGCTTGCTCATCACTTTGCTCAAGATAAGATCTGATCCCTTCGGTGACAGCACTTAAAATGTTATTAACAACAATAACAGTTTTAGCCAGCACAATAAAGAGGGCCTAGCCACGCAATATAGATGCAGCAAAGTTATTACAGATTAGTTTATGTATTATTTGGGACGGCTTTCTTACTGCTTCATAAAATTATTTTTAGTGCAAAATTCTTATTTTTTTAACTAGAAAGTTGTTTTAAAAAGCAGCAAAAAACTGCCCCAAACGAAACCTAAATATTATTAAAAAATGACCAATCACCCAAACTCCACAACCAAGCCATCACCTCTGCCATCACCAGCATAGAACCCACACAATCTACATTTGTATACTTTAAGAGTCAAATACTTGTCTGTGTATAAGAACACATGTCCCATTTTTATTGGAGTCAAGATGTATCCGGACTCCGCAAATAATAATTTCTCTATTAATAGGAAATTTTTATCAGTGGTTGTATCTTCTAAAGCAACTCTAAATTTATGATTGAATTGCATTGGGCAAACAATGGACTTGCATCTCAACTTACATGTATTCTTTCAACAAACTTGTTAGGTAAATTTTTGTAATATAAAGCTTCTATACCCATAGCATGCAACCTCAATGCAAATGAAATACTACAAAAACAACACTAGGCTTTATCCCACTATATGGGGTCAGCTATATGAATCATTTTTATTTATTGTCTCATATTAAGAGTCAAATTCTCATTTAAATCTAATAAAAAGATAGCTTCGTAATTCATTGACTTCAAAGTGTTTGAATAATCTTTCCTTCTAAGTTCTTCATTCCTTTTTAGTAAAGACTCATCTACAGCCAACTAGTTTTTTTTCTTGTGATAATTTACTGATTCTAGTGTTTTTTTTTTTAAAGAGGTCGCATCTCTCTTCTGTTATCGATGCTCATTGTATGCTCAGATGAATTGGTGAGGTGACAACAAGGGTTCCTTAGATCCATGAGGTCGAAAGTACGAGGAGAAAGCTCCAGAAGAGTAGAAATGAAGACTGAGAAGATGCTACAAGTCTAGGAGAGCGGGGATGGATGCAAATCTCAATTCTGGAACAAATTAGGGCTAAGAACAAAAGCAAATTTTTTATATTTATATTATGATGTTATTTAATGTGTAGATAGGTCTATCATGTTAATTAAAACATAAATTTTAATCTTGAAATGATCCATATTATACCAAAATTTGTGCAATAGTTGAATTTAATAAATCTACTTCATATAGATCATGATTTATATTATAAAGTTAACTTTTATCATATTGGTTATTAAATGTTTCTTATACACTTGCTCTATATATAAGCGCGATTTTAGCTCTGGGAGGACGCATCTCTACGTCAGGTGGGAGGACGCAATAATAATTCATTCAGTTGAGCGTCCTATTACTCTATTATAAGGACACTTCTCAATTGTATGGAATTAGTGACAAAAATTGACTCAATTAATTGTACTTGCATAGACTGGGTAATTAATGTATTTATTCTTTGATATTTATATTATGATGTTATTTAATGTGTATATAGTTTTATCATGTTAATTAAAACATAAATTTTAATCTTGAAATGTTCCATATGATAGCAAAATTTGTTCTCATGCAATAGTTGAATTTAATAAATCTTCTTCATATGACAGGTTGACAAAATAAAGATTGTTTTAAGAATTATTGGATTTCCATGGGTTGATGAAAATCTTCCCAATTCGAGTATCTTAGTAAACCAACTATAGATATAAAGTATAATGATAAATGACTAATGAATCATCTTCGAATATATACAAATATATTTGAAATGATTGCACATTAGGGGTGTCAATATTTGACACGACCCGAAAATATGATCCAAATCCAACCCAAAAATTTCAGGTTTGGGTCAATCCGTCTAGAAAACAAGTCGGGTTCGGGTTTAAATTCTA